GCATGGAGGATACCATCATCTTACCAGGTGTGATCCACATCAGAAACAAGATGCCTCTGAGATGTCTGGATTTGTTTCCGGCCACAGACATTTTTTACCAGTGTCCATGAATGGTAGCATCATTACTGTTTTCTGGGGGGACCGTAGGAATTCCTAGGAGGGATATCAGAACAATGGCTAGGTTTCATTATTGTATACTGCTTCCCCGATTTGGGCAAGCACTGATCTAGGAGAGCAGCAATGGCAGAGTCCCCTATCCTTCTGAATCTTGTTTTTGGCTGAAGAGAAAAAGAATAACTATAAAATCTGCTCCAGATAATAAAGCCCACCGGAGATCAGAGGCATGCTTTCAGAGGGAGAAGATGTAACATTTCAGGAGGGCACACCTGTTGGGAAGGCAATAGAAAGTCTGGGAAAGGGAGTGAGCACCTGGGATCTAGGGAAGGAGATCACTCTGGAAATAGCTCTGTATTTGAGTCCAGCCATGGGAAGGATGAACAGGGCTGGTGCAGGTGGAACATGGCAGCTCCAGGGTTTGCTATCTCATTCTACACATGTGGGGAAGTCTCAGTGGGATTAAAGAGGGCTGAAGATGTAGGGACAGGTGGAGGGTGGAGATTAACCAGAACTTCTGAGTTGGAGATCCATTTCAAACATGTTCTATTACACACTTTGAGAAGGCTAGGATGGGGGCCGGCTTAGGCACCTAACACTATAGGCTGAGCATGCCCTCTTGTTACTAGGGAAGTATACTTATTTATTCTCAGTTGTGGCTAATTTAACTCAGAGTCAATCACGGAAAGTGTGGAGGTCCTGACTTCATGTGGACAGTCAGAGGCCACACAGGCCACAGGGCTTCCACCTAAAGGTGGGATCCCAGTCAGATACTCAAGGCCCAGATACATAGAGGCCCATGTTCTCAGAGCAAGTGGCCCGGGAAGCTGTGGAAGGCTTTGTACTGTGTCAGTCTGGTTTCTGAGAGTGTAGGAAACACTGCAAAACTCACTTTTATTTTAATGGTTTGATAAAATGCTCGTGTGTAAAAAACCAAATACAAACATAATCTGAATGAAATAAGCAAGAACATTATTATGCTTGACTCCCTAACAATAAATAAATGTAATAAAACCGAAGCTGATTCTACCACATAGAACTTGTAGGACATACATTAATTTAAAACAAATGAACACATTAAGAAATCCTACTCAACTTTTCATTCTCGTGAAGCAGATTTGAAAGATGTTTTTAGCTGATCTCAGAGGAGTTTAAAAACTGAGGACTGAATAATTGGGAAAAAATTACATCTCCCTTTAATTGCACTGCTCTTGTGTGCATAGCAATTCTTGACGATCTGGGACCGAGACACATCTCCTGCCCCATGAAGTTATATAACCCAGTTGGGAAAGACAAAATCCAAACCCATGGAAGAAAGAGCCAGTTGAAAATGTAATGAGCCAAGGACTGCCAAGTAAACACACAATCCAACCATTCTTGTGTTTAGTCAACATATATTTATAGGCATCCTAATCGAGGGTCTCAATGAAGCATTCATATCTTCTTCCCTCCCTCAGGAAGCTTACATTTTAGGTCAGGATGAGAAAGGGGTTAGGGATAATATGAGAGGACCCTTAACAGAAAAAAAAAATCTGTTAGAGGCAAGCCTGTGTTGACAGCAAGGATCCATGGTGAAGATCCATCCATGGTCAGGGGCAGAGCAAGGGCTGCCAACAGCCTGATCCTGGTTCCTCCAGAGACTACTGAAGGATGCATTATAAGACCAGTGACTCACTACAACCTTTGGGATTCCTGGTCCAGAGGGCTGAGATAGGTAGATGCACAGAGGCTTTTATTTGATTATGAAATACAAAATGCTTCAAGGATGAAAGGTGCTTTCCTCCAGGTTAAATTGCTACTGCCTTCATGAGATCGGCTGTGTCTACAGTATCCATAACGACTGCCCTATGGGCTATTGATCGTCCCTCAGAGGAGGAGAGCGATTATCGGATCCTCATCTCAGGTTCCAGCCATTGTATGCAATTTTGCCCTAGTTGCACAGGGCCTCTGGGTCTAGGGTAGGGACAAGAGTATGGCTGGAGAGGACTGGGAACAGGGTAGACTCTATCTACATAGTTATGGGGGAGCCTACACTGGGTTTAGACTTCCCAGTGAGGCTGCTTTGGGCTTGCCCATGCTGCTCTTAGGATACTCCTCACCTGTGCTTTATATGTAAGCCCAATAAATTGGTAGGTTCTCCAGGGTTAACCAGGTGAAATTGTACTTTAGCTTGTTGATGGGACTGAAGATAGAGGAATCATTGTAGTTTGTTCTACCCATATCCTGGGAAGCAATTTTAGCAACTGAGAAACAGATTGTGACTAGTGATGCCTGAACCCTGACTGTTTTATTTATCTTTCATGTAATTATCATCATGACTGAAAGAAACAACAACAAAATGTGTCCCCGGGGAGACATTTTTTTTTTTTACTCTCTGTTGTTAAGTGTGTATCCTTGTATCTGGGGGTATAGTGACCTGTATACAGATAGTCTATTCCTGGTTAGCACATCTCAGATGTTTGTTGGTTTTGTTATTCTGGCAGAGAAGTGGTTCAAAGCAGGAGGAAAGTGAGATGGAGTACTTTCGGAAGAGACTTTCCAGAACACCTGCTCACTACCCACTGCCTCTCTCTGGCCTGATGGCCTCTCAACACAGCAGTGAGAATAACAGAGCAGTTGCCTCTGTTTCTGTACATTGTGGTAGAGCTGCTCCTGTCAAAGCCATGAACTATTTCCACATAGACAGTTGGACTCAGATCATAGTAGCAGGGCTGATGTGAGAGGCAGTCCTGCCTCTCTTCTGGAACCCTAACATCTACACAGACTTTCAGGGTTCTCCTACTGGGGGCACTGGAACCCTAACATCTATATAGGCTTGCAGGGTTCTCCTGATGATGGAGATATTTGTGTGGTATCTTGGAATAGCAGAGTGTGAATGGAGTAGAAACTTCACACCTTATCCCCTAAAATTGTATGGTGAGTGTGTTAAGTAAAATAAAAATAAAGTTGCAAATCAAGGGAGGGGAGCACTACTCGAATATGAGGACTGGCTGGCAGGCTGTAAGCCCTGCCCACTCGCTGATCTCAGGAGTGCTATGCAGAAACAACAATAAATGGGAAGGGGCTATGCCGGGCCACAGGAAAGCTGTGTTGCAGGGATTCATAATGAGAGTAGGGTCTGTCTTCAAGACTAGGACAGGTTTATCACAAGGGATACCACATTGGAAAAGCCATTCTGCAAACCTCATTATAGCTGTCTCACAAAAATGCCAAGTTCATTTTCAGTGGACTTTTGCTCTGGCTCTTCCACTTGCCCAACACACTTTCCCAGTTTCTCTACCCTTCATTTATGTGTCTACCATATCTAAAGCAGGACAAGCCCCAAGACATCTCCAACCTGGTTATCATTCTCCCTTTCTACCACCTGGATGGGAGACACAATGGCTTATGTAATTTTCACACACCCCCTCCCCCCATGGATTGTGAGTAAGCCTGCTAGATAAACCTTGGTTTATCTAGCCATTGTTATAAATCTAGCATCAGTGTACATTGTCGAGTGACCACTGTCAAACCTGTCCCAGGCTCTTGTCCACTTAGCCAGCACTTAACACTGCCACACGGGTAGCTGAAACATAAAGCAGACAAAGGAAAGGGTGTAGGGTGCTGTGTGAGTCCCTTGGTCACACAGAAGAAGAGCCCGGTGTGTCTGTTTATAAATGTTGCTACCCAGGCAGCCAAATAAAGACACTGCAGCTTAGGAGACTGAGTGTAGGGTGGGAGGGACTTTGCCAATTAAGCAATGTTCTCATCTTGCCCATTTCAAAATACCCTGCCTGGCCCATTTTTAGGATCAGTGCTCATTAAAAAAAAAAGTCAAAGGCATCTGGGCCAGCACCTGCTCCTGCTCTTCCCTTGGTGACCTCATCAGCCCCACCTGGGCTCCCTCCCTGCCTTGATGGAGACATTGGGCTGGTAGATGATCAAGGCTCTTTCTCTCCTCGGAGATAGACAACAGAATCATAGCCCTTGGTTATTCCAAGGCTCCAGTGAGGAGTGAGGGTTTTCTAAATAGGGTTACTCGTGGAAAGAGTCTCTGGCACTGATAAGTGTATTTATGTTTCTGTTTCAGAAAGAAGGGTGAGGCTGGACAAGGGGCGCTGTGCACTCATGCCCCTCCCCCTCCCCGAGCTTCTGAACTTTCCAAACTGGTCCCAAACAGCTGCCTCTAAACTCAGTGGGTTATTTCAGAGCTCTCTTAAAGGGACCAAAATATCTAGTGAAGTCCTTAACTGGACAGTTGTTAAAGCTCTCCTGAGCTTCTTAAGGCCTCGCTGACTCGGAGACATCAAAACCTTTATTTGTGCAGCCCCCTCCCTCCTCTCCTTCTCTGTCTTGGCCCTGACCTTCCTAGTGTATCCTCTAGGGTCACGGATCTCCATCAGCCCAGGCCCCGCCCCCTAGTCTCCCAAAGGGATTAAGGCAGAGCCCTCCCCCTCTAGCCCCGCCCCAGCCCGTGTCCACGACCCCGCCCACTCCCGGCTCCTCCCCCTGTGCCGGGAGCTCTTAACCGGGGGAAACCTAGAGACCGGCCAGTGAGCCCCTGGGGAGGCCCGGGGCAGCTTTGTTCCTGGACAGCACTGGCTGGAGAGGGCTGTGGCTTCTCCCCGAGGACCTGCTTGGCCCTTTTCTGCTTTGCCCTCTCTCACACACTTGCCATTCTTCTCTGTAAGTTTCAGCTTTTCCCTCCAACTGCTGCCTTGAAAGCTAGTTCTGTTTCTGGACCAATGGTCAAAGAGAAGACTCCCACATTTTGTCTGGAGACTGAGGAGTGTTAGGACTTCTTTTCAGTGGCAGGCAGGGTGTCTGTATGCTACAGTGGAATTCCAGAAGGGGACTGCCTGAGACTGGCATCTTCCTTGAACCCTGCTTCCAGTAGTTCTGATCCCAGGACACAAGCCCAGACTGGACCCCTTGAACATCTCCCTGGCAGGTAAGGCCCAGTTTTCTCAGCTGCCTGTGTTGCGGGTCATAGGCTCACAATGAGGGACAGGGGAGCATGAGAGCTAGCTGTAGTGCTCCTGGCATCCCTGGTCAGCTTCCTGCTGAAGTACTTTGAGGAGCCTCTGGTATGAAGGGGACAAACTTTTCTTCAGCCTCAGAGGAAAACAAAATCCCTGTATATGTACCTGATTGATTCTTAGGAGCTGTCCAAGAAGGCAGAGAGAACTGAGTGGTCACAGTAGCCATCACCAGAGCCCATTGGAGTTGGTGTTTAGAGTTGTTGGGATGTGCCAGCCTCTGGTGGGGTAGACAGACCCTGGGGGAGTGGAAATAGCAAGTATAGCCTCTTTTTGATTTGGTATTGATGGGCAAGGGGACTTGGCCTTCTTGGTCTAAATTTAGATTTCTTTCCTTTTTGAGCATGCTGTTGTCCATCCCTGATACCAGAGAGGTAGGTGCCTTAGTCTTTTTGTAATATCATGAATATCATGATATTCTGAATATCATGTTCCATAGCAGACCAGGGTTTCATGTCTCCACCAATGAAGCTTAACTTGGATTGGATTGTGTGTGGACAGACTCGGTGGTGACAGGCAGACATGCTTCTCTGGCATTTGGATGTCCCCAGGCATCACCATAACCATTCCTGTCATCCTTCAGACCCTTTGCACTGTGTTGGCGCTTCATTTATCATTCTGGCTCCTCATCTGCCTCTCACTGACATGTGTCTGGGGAAAGGCTAGAAAATCAAAGATCTCTTTTGGATTAGTCCTACTTGCTCCAGGAAGTTCTTCTGCAGGGCTCTGATCTGCTAGAGACAGAAGCGACACAGGGCTTAGTGATCTGCTCTGTGAGGGCCCATCCCTGACTTCTACTGTTTCCTTGTACAGTTTCCTTATATTTGCTGCCCTCAGCTAAGGGCTGTACCCAGAGAGCTCCCGTTTCCTCATTGGTCAAGAGAAGGTACTAGGAGCGATTGATTCCTTCACAAGGGATGTGACCAGGCATTTGATCTTAGCTTGTTTCTGTCTCCTGAACCTGAGGCCTTTCCTCAACGGTGCTCCTGGGAAGCCACAGAGTCATCACCCTTATGTTATTAGAGAAGAGGTTGAATGGACTCCTTTCCAGGGCTCCAACAGGACTCTGGTCATGGGCCCTTAGAGAAATTTGCAGCAGAAATGAATTTGTACCTTGTTTTACTGGGTTGTGTTCAAAGTTTCAACACATTCTCATCTATTCTTGTACCTCCATAATGGTAGTGAGTGGTGTGCCAGCCAATTTGCCTCACAGAAACTTCAATTCTTCCATGGCCATTTCTGTTACTCACTAATGTCAAGTGTTTACATTTCATGCATAGTATCCTGTCTCCTTGAATCCCTGCAAGGTCTTCAAAGGCTATCGGAGAAGTGATGACCACTCCAGGCAAGCATAGGCTCCCTGGTCATCCATGACCTTGAGATGACTTAGCCTGATGACCAACTCAACTCTGTATGTTTGAGTCAACTGTAAGAAGTTCACATATAAGCATGCATGCATCCTAGAGATTGCTTTGGAACAGAAAACCGTATTTGAATAAAAGATTAATAATGCCTAGAAAAGTCTTTTGGTATGGAGGGGGAAAGCCAGGTGATCCCTGTGCCCTGGGGTATCCCAGGAGGTAGACACTGACCTGCAATTTTGCTTCTGATGGATTAAATTAGAACTAGTAGGGCAGTTTCCTTGAACTCTGGATTCCAGGTCAGTTGGAAAAATCATCCAGTTAACCCTTCCCTAGGTGGTGAGTCCCTCACTGTGGGGAAGATTCAGATGAAGGCTGGATAGCCACTTCCTGGGGTATTTGATAGGCTACTTTAAAATCTGAGTGCTGAGATGAGATGAGCTTTTAAGGGCTCTTGCTAGCTTGATATCCAGCCATTTGAAAGCATAACCTTTCCAGTCCTGAATTTCCTCCTTCATTTCTTCAGTGTTCCTGTTGCTGATGGTTTTGACGGAGGTTAACACTGGTGTGCAATTGTCAGAGCATTGACTGTGAATGGCCCCTGTTCCTCTACTTATGAGTTTATTAACAAATACCAGAGAGATATTATAATAGCAGAGCAAACCCAGGGGGAGGAAAAAGCCATTTTCATGTCAAAGAAGTCCTTCTCCCTATGCTGGGGAAACGTCTTAACACATTATTGTTGCTCGATAACAGAACCAGAAGGTGAGAAAGGCCTGTGTGGCTATTTTAGAGTAGGAAAGATACCTGAGGATTGTTTAACCAGTCTCTATTCAAATATTGAAGCTGGGCCAAGCTGCTTGACAAAAATAGTTACAAAACCTGGTGAGATGAAGGCAGTGATTTTTGTCCATTTTACAGATGAGCAAAAGGAGATCTGGAGAATGGTGTTGACTTGCTTTCTTGGCCTTTAAAGACCAAGTATGAGGTACTAGGTCTCATGAGGTACTAGGACAGAGAGACTCTCTCTCTCTCTCTCTCTCTCTCTCTCTCTCTCTCTCTCTCTCTCTGTGTGTGTGTGTGTGTGTGTGGGGGTGGAGACACAGAGAGAATACACACAGATATGTACATATGCATAAGTATATGTATTGGGGGCAGAATTATTAGCATGTATGGCAAAGTGACCAGGCTGAAGTATCTTTCTTTGTACCTGTCTGGGGCCAGCACCAGGCTTACTGAGTTCATGAGGATGTGGATGACTATATAATTGATACCTGAATGAATGCATTTTCTAATACAACCACCTCTCAACTTTATAAGTCAGTGAAATCAGTCACTTGTTCTTTGATCGTAACATTTCGGGTCGCCTCCGAGCACCCTGCAAATGGAGGAGCCTGCCTGGCCTCACTGACCTTGTGCAGTTGCCTTGAGCATCTTTGGGTGCAGAGATACCTGCAAGAATGTACCTCAGATGGTCCCCAAGGAATAAGATTTCTGGGTCGTAGGTTATGGGCAGAGTACTGGTTCTCAGGACACATTGGGACTGAGGATTCAGGAGAAAAGAACAACTGGAGTGCCATCAGCATGCACAAAGGAAGTTTGTTTTTTGGCAGACACCCAGGGAATGTGTGAGCGAGTGCAACAGTGCCTGTCTACTATGGCCCTGAAGACATACTACCAGAAGCCATGCAGAGGCCTGTTACAAACCGCACCAGGTCCCTAATGCCTTCCTCTCATCCACATGCACCTGCAGTCACTTGTCTGCTCCTAGTGCCTGGCATCACAACTTTTATCGCCCCCTGGTTATGTTTGGGAACACAGGAGAAAATATCTTTTAAAACTTTTGGCTGGAATCATCTCTAGAGAGAAGTTGTTTCTGAGACCGTATTCTAGTGGATGCTGGGCCATTGCAGCTGGCCGGGTCTGCCCAGGAGCTAAATTGCAGGGCTGTAATCTTCTGCCAGTGCCAGAAAGTCGAGAAAAAGCAAGCACACCACAGCACCAAATCAGATGAGATTTTATTTGAAACATGGGTCTAACGCTTCAGTTAGGCCAGCAAGGATCGGTTACAATGCTCGAGCTAGGCTGCTGTCTTACCCAGTGCTGTGCCTTCATCTGACAATACTGTGTTTATAGTCACCAGTCTGGCAGGAGAGCAGCTCTCGTGTTACATGCCCCTACCACAGGGGAAAACAGCCAAGGGAAATAAAGTAAAAACAGAAACACAAACATCACCAACAGAGTCTGGGCTAACCCCAGAGGGTTCTGACAACAAATACCCCTGCTGTACGGGCTTTGCACTGAGCCCTCTCAATGTCCTCTGTGGGGCCCTGGCTAGGCCCTTACTGAGTCCTAGGTCCATCATGTTGTTCACAGGGCCCTGCACCGTTGTGGCATGGGAGGTGCCGCTACCTCCTTAAAGCAGCCTGTGGTGTGATCTTGGACTTCCGATTAGGTTCTCCCTTCATCCAAATGGAAGCTCTTTCTCCCTGCCACTCTCTAGACTTTTGGGTGTGCTCAGAACAATTGAATCCATTTCCCAGGACACACTTGAGCTCTGCATAAACAAAACCTGAATCTTTCTGATCCTATCTGAGACAGAGTTCTACTTGTCCCTGGGCAGAGCCTAGGTGTGTGATCAGCTGTGTTGCTGTCCTCTGCAGACTGACCAACTGAGGCTTGGGGACATTCCATGAGTAAATGTGAGAACTGGGATTCAAACTCATGACTTGGCCCGATACGCTGGCCCTTAGCATTCCACAGAGAGCTGTATGTCTTACACAGATGAATACAAGGTAAAGCTGTGTAATTATATAAAGACAAGTGTATGTAATTCACGTAAGAAGGAAAATACAGCTGCTGGGAATGTTACTTTAAATGGCTACCCGGTAGTGTACTTAATTCATAAAGGTGATAATGGCGTGTTGTGACAAAGTACAACAGGCCTAGCAGCCCTTCTCAGTCTTCTCTCTGGAGGTGCCATCTAGTGACTGTCCCTTTATAACCGTATCCATAGCCAAACACGCATGTCAATAAAAATCTAACATTTGAGTAATTTGGGAACAGCAGTTGACAGATGAAAAAAGACACATTTCTGTATTGTGGTGTCTGGCTTGGGAGGCAGGGGGTGGGGAAGGTATCTATATGTTACTTTTAGTTTGCTTGGTTCGATGCTTTCTGAGAACCCATTGGGATGCAGTGCTAGGGCTCCCCAACTTTGTCAGCAAAGTTGAGTGGAAAACAGATGGGAGACCACTAAGATGCTGGTGAAAGCTAGCTAAGACCCAACTGGCTGTAATTGTAGGTGCCCCATGATCCAACACTTAATCACCTGTTATAATCACCCTTCGGCATACCTGTGAGGCCAGGCACTGAGCTCTCTATTAGACCCCTTGGAGCCATCAGTGTCTGCACAATTCTAGATGTATGAGAGACTCAGCCAGTTTCTCAGGTTGAAATCCACCCCTGGTTCCTGACTCATAGGGATGTTAGATTCATGAAATTGCAATTAAATTTACATTGCACTTACATAAGTCAATGAAATATTGAAA